CCTACAAGAAGATGGTGGTAGACACCATTTCTGACCTCGGCAAAAAATTTGACTCGGTCACCAGGCCCAACGAGGCGATGATCATCTGTCGTTACTGTCGCTACGACTGCAGGTGAACCGTCTTTTTGCTCCGAAATTTCGGCACTTCTTGTCTCACCGCCTGTTGGTGAGTAGAGCCGAGATCGTTCAACAAAACGGCAAAACCCCAGTCCCATTTTTGGACCTACAAGATGATACCGTTCCGTTTCTAAAGGCAAAAAAGAAATACGGTGGCTTAGATGCAAGCAGAGAATTAAGGACCGCTTTTATTCACTTTCTTTGTGCTTTTTGTGGACATTTTAGGCTATCGTTTTCAGGATACGACTCTACTGAATGGCTTTAAGTAGTAGGTAACGTTACCGCAGTAATTAGTTCCCTAGGATGTTTCCCAAGGTAGGCCTATTGATCTAAAGGCCTTCAGAGGAAAAACTTACATTAAAGAGAACACTCCAACCCAGCATCAAGGTAATACGTGTCTAAATCCTCCTTTTAATCATTCCTGAGTGAAATGGGTCACTGAAAGCGGCAAAGAGCTATCTGCATGTTAAACGAGTAGTCAACTTATCATCCAAATACATTAACAACACGTCAATGCTTTAGAATGTTTTGAGATGCTCTAACAGATTGCCCCAGATACAGTGGGCAAATTACAATGGTGATCTCGACAATCCGCCTCAAGGTTTGTGCCTACAAGCCAAGTGAGTCGAAGTATTTGCGATTTTCCTGACTCATAAACGCCTGCCAAATTTGTTTCCTCTGCCTAAACTAGGTCTACTTCACGACACGAAGTAAGGCACCGAAACTGGTTGTGGAGCTCTTTGTGTGTAATGCTGTATAGCTTTTTTTTTTTACTCAAGGCTTTACAGAAGGGACAAAGAGATGAGTAAAAGTGAAGGAAATTAGGTTAGTAGTCTAGTCAGAGGCCAACAGAGTTTGGTTGCAGACACGTCAAAATGGAAGTTATCAAAACTAGGTTTTACGTACCTAAGACCTATCATTCTAACCTATGATAAAGGCTAAACGCACCCTCTCACCTGCCTACGCATCCATTTTATTCATCTGCTTGTGATAAACATTTGCTAGGTGAAAGACGACGGTCTCGCCATGCCGCAAGGTCTGAAAGTCGTCTCGTTATCTTTCACCCTGATTATGGAGGAGGAGTGACAGAAAATAGAAGTCACCTTACTCCTGGCTCTCCACAGGTAATGTTCACACAATGGGTTGGGCTAAATTTTAGAAACTAAACGACACTTTCCAGACCCTCCTTGCCAGTGGAATTGGGTCAGTGACAAGGGAATTGGCACCTTTGTCAAGAAAAGCCTAAACTAGCAGATATTTGTAGAAGTCAATGCAGTTGTCGAGAGGGACCGTGCTTGTTTTGGAGGCAAGAGTTGACGGCTAAACTAGCCTTGGACACAGACCAACTTTTAGTTCGTCATCAGTGCCGGTGGCGAGGATAAAAATTGCCTTTGCATGCAATGGGGAGCTAAAATTCATGAAATTTGCAATGTTCATGAAGTGATTGTGTTGGCACAACAATCTACTTCCCCTTTTGTCCAATTTCAAGCTAGATGACAATCAGAGATCTCAACTAATGGCTGCATATTTACAGTCGTAGTGCCAGTGCTGATAACCACTTGCAGTCGTCTGGCACCTCACAGACCGGTGGTTGAGCACGTGTACCCGCTGTTGCCAATGTGGCACACATCGGACGCCAACTACTTCATGCAGTGCTATCACGGCGAAAACAGGTCATCAACAACACCTCATTGTTTGTCAAACGAAATTCTCGCCCCTTGACTTGTCAAAGCGACCAAATTGAAGCCCACGGCTCACATGTCTGAGTGGATGCCTTCAATTGAAAAGCTACAGGCTTGACTGTCAAATGACAGCGGCAAAATTTACGTATCCCAATCGGGGCAAGACAATGCATTCTTTGTTTTTTTTCTTTTCTTTACTTTTTAAAAAAAATTGCTTTGACTACCTCTTCTTAGTTAAGCAAGTTGCCCTAGAGGTGCAATCTCCCACCTAATTTGGCCTGGAGTTTTTGGTGTTTCTTGAGGTAGTGCGCACTTCACAAAAAAACACGCCTTCGTGTTGCGCTGCATCAAAAGGGTGGTCGCCATAAAATAGAGGCAACATTTTGCAACGATACAATTAGGTGGCTGTACTACTTTGCCCCATGTGAAATTGGAGAGAAGTGACAGAAAATCAGGCGTAGTCACCTTTCATTGCTGGCCCGATGAATGCGTGCCTCCTACGACGGCGAGAATTGGTTTGCTACTCGCAATCTTAGGAGAGATAAAGTGAATAGCGAAGTGGAAGTAGAGCTTTGTTGGTGTCGGACATAAGGAGTATCAGGCCCCTGAGGGGTTGATGAAGGAATTTTGTTGGTATTCAAAAATCTTCGGTAGTCATGACAATGACCTTGATAGGAGCCATCAGAATGACCTGGCTATGACGACATTCTAGACATGGGATTGTGTTAACATTGCCATTTCTTCTCCAAGTACCTGTTTGTCATTATTAATAAAAGTTACTTGCTTTATGGATGTGATCGGTACAAGAGAACTTGAACTTCTTACAATGTGACTGTCTAATCGTCAAAATTTCACGAACACAGAACTCACAACACCCTCCTAGCAGTCAATGCTCTAGGGTCAAAAGGAGAATGTTTCTCAAGGGAATAGCACCTACCGTTGGTGAAGGCGATCCTGTCGAGTTGATCCAGTAGACTGCATCGAAAACGAGCGGGAAGGAGAGAGGCAGCTGTAGTAGAATTTTGTGAAGGTTGACAATCCCACCTCCTCTTTGACTCCATCACTAGGCACACAGAGACGTAGTCTCGCAATTCTGCACACTTTCCATGAGGAGCTACATGAAGGGACCTTAGAGGAGGGACAACAGAACTACATTTATTCAATTATAATAGCAGCATAAAATCCAACCATTCATCTTGACATGCACAAAATCACTGGCCAGTCCTTGTTCCAAATCTTGCGTTCTGTCTTTAAGGCGACTTTAAATGGTTTTTAGACTTCCAGGAGTCATACTTCACTCAGAGGTGTCTCAGATGCCACTTTTGCGTGCTGTTGGCCATTAGAAATGCCACCATCGAATTATATTACTGCCTCTTTCATCCCTTGTCGACAATAAACCTAGGCAGTGCCTTTCCCTTCTTCAAAGAACCCATCGTTTCTCCATTGACTAATGCCAAGAGGAGGGGAGAGAAGTTCACAATTTAAGGTAATTCAAGGGTATAACCATGGAAGTGACTAGCTACTTCCATTTCAGGAAGCAAGGAATTCCAATCCTGAACTGACTTTCCTGAAATGCAAAGGAACCCTGACTGTAATATTAGTAATAATGTGGAGAAATATCGCAGTCAAGTGAGAAACAATTATCAGTAGAAGACGAAGCAAGACGTGGTCACATCGTCACCAATAGAAGCAATCTTGGAGGCCAACGACAGCCTCTCCTATAAATTTGCATCACATCACTAAAACCGAGTAAATCCACCTAATTACTCGAACTTTTGATCGTGCATGGCAGTGACCACGAAAGCCGTGTTTGAAGATCGCCTTTCAGACACAACAGAGTCGAGCATGTTTTGTGCACTTGCCCTTATGCATAGCCGCCTCCGCCTCCACCTCCTCCTGGCTCAGGCCTCCGTCAAGTGAGAAAGAGCAAAACAAGTAGGATAATTTGAAAAACACCTAGACTTTCACAGATTGCCCGTGGTGGTGGTGGTGGTGGTGCGTAGGCAACAACGACGCGCGAGTTCTGTCTGAGTGCGCGAATGTCCAGTAGGTGAGTCAAGGTCAGGGTGCGCGAAAACTGGTTCCAGATAAAATGGAAAACACTAGTGCGTAATTGGCTCCAGTCCCGCTTTTTTGAAATCGTCCCGTCTCCCCGTCACCACGTCTTCTCCCCCTCCCCCTTCCCTTCGCCTAGTCTCCTTGCGTGCACTTTTCCAGTGGCACAATTTATACTTTCCTGCACAAAACAATGTGGACGTGCAAACACAAACGTTCAGTTTCCACAGGAATTGGTTAACGGATCAGGTTTGTGTTTGATGAAACGTGGGTTCTAGTATGAACATTCTTCTCCACCACTTTTAAGGGTTAAAACAAAATTCTGTTTGGCTTAACGCGAAGAAACCACATACTGTTGGAGCAGAAAACAGTTAGAGATTATTTTAATAAGATCATCCTTATAGAAGTGAGTCAAGACGCAGTACTTTTGAGGTGACACAAATACACTAACAGCAATTGACTTCCAAAGAAAAAACGAAATTCTAGAGGGTCAAACGTCTGCATTTGGGGAGAGAGGAGTCCTCTCACCACGAGTGACATTTGAGTAAGGCCACAGTGATATCGCCGCCAAATTAGAGCCTGCCACAACCTTTGTTTTCCCAACCCCCGTGGCCCGTGCTGTGGTGTTGATGCGACAACGGGTTCCGCAGCGCCCATCGCGAATGGAGTGGGATTTCACAGGTGGCAGATTTGTGATAGCGAGGTGTCAAAACCACTATTTTCGAAAAGCTTTTGTGCTGAGAAATTATGATGTCTCGGACAATCTGATTGGACCGATTAAAGCCGGGATCCGGTCTGCAGCTTTGTAGCGTCCACAATGTCATAAAAGGGTTCTATTCAGCAGGTAATAAAATCGAGTCATCGAGATGGGTTTGCTTACGTTTTGCTCGTTCCAGCCATAACACAATGGAGCCGTGTCTAGACACATAAAAACCGGGTACAAACCAACGCATATCCCGCCCCTCATTCTCGCCTCAATTCAATTAGTAGACAATGTTCTGGGACATCAACTCACTCGCAACCTAGTTACCGATTGTTGTGTCGCATTACGGGGGAGAACCTCGTACAATCTACTAGCAGAACCAACCGCGCCCAAATCTGGACTTAAGTGTTTATCAGCCACATAAGAAGTACACGGTGCTGTCAGAATCACTCCAATTGCGTACAACATCGAGAGACAGTCGTGTCGTGAGTGCCCTTGCGCGAAGCTAGGAGCATGAAGAAGGCGTTTTTCTAACGTGCATTTAAGGAGGGAAAAAAGAATGTTGGTCTCCCCATTTGCGTGTCCGCTGCTTTCTCCCTCCCTCGTCTCCTACTCTCATTCCAAGGTCATTTTGTGCACCTCCATACGTGTGACTGTCCTTGTACGTATGGACGTACGTAGGAACGTGTTGTTCCGCCAATTGACCCAACTTGCAGACATTTGCCATTTGCGACTGGTGTAGCGCATACCCCCGCAACCACCACTCAAGGTCACTTGCGGGTGAATGTGAGGGCAAATGACCTTCAAAATGTCTGTTTTGCTCGTCACTCCGTTCGCAAGATTGTATTCCTCCTCCGTGCATCGTTTTGGCATTGTTTACAGATGTCTCAACAAGGAAAAAAAGGAAACACGCAGACTTCCGTCCTCCCTAGCTCATTTAATCTGTGCAAACCACTTTTCGCCTTGTGTACTGTGCTTGGTTTTGTCCGATCTAAAGCAGTACGTTGACGCGTGTACGATTT